GAATGTTGCATGAAATGAGATAAACCTCTACAGATCATGGTAGTTACATCATTGGCCAATAACTGTGGGACTGACCCTGAAGACGTGGTCGGTAAATCTGCAGGTGCAGTAACAGCAGTGGTAGTTCTAACTACTTAAAACTGAACAATAAGTATTGAGAAAAAAAAATGCACTACATGAAAATGTAATGAAAATCGCAAGCGAAAACGATAGAGTAGTGTTGCAATCCTATTGGTGGAGGTTTGCTGCATGATCATTTGCATGTAAGTATGCAGAAAGAAGTGGGAGTTACAAGGATAGAAGTAAGTGGAAAATTTGAGATGATAGAGGGCAGTACTAATCAAGAAAGCTTTTTTGTAGAAGGAAGTAAGATATCATATAGAAATTATACTTTTCATTGTGTCTTATTCAACTCTTTTGTTACCAGAAATTTTGAATTCCCAGGAACCAGTGAAAATAGCAAAAATTCAATAAAAGTTTAAGTTTGACTGATTTATTGTACATTTTAGTAAAGAACAGCTCCATAAATTATGGGTTCAACATGAAAAAACCTTATTTAAGTATATTATTGTGGTCCTTGAGAGTATGAAAAGTAGACATATATTAAGTACATCCTTATGGTAAGCAAAACGTTAAAAAACATACAAAATATTATATTTTTGAATTAAAGTTATTCAAACCAGCAGATTTTTTTTACATAAGTAATGTATCATACTTATAGATATACATACCCACTCTAAGGCCTGTTTCCTGTCATCATCTTCCTGCAAGTCCTTCCATCTTGGATGAAAAGTACAACCTTGAAGAATTATAGAAGCAAGAGCATCACCATGAAAACCCACAAACACATCTACAGCACTAAACTCCCTTGACTTCCCACAAAAGGACTGTTTTTCAATTTTTACACTTGAGAACTGATTCACCCAATTCTGCAACTCTTCCAACAACAGGTTTTGGGATAAGGTTAACAGAGTACTCATAGCCAAGAAGTGTTTTTCCAAACGATTGATCAGTGGAATTGGAAACTTTTCACGTACTACTACTTCTTCT